TTTTAGAGATTGTCTCTAAGATTTTTAAAGAAAAGTCTCCAAGATGCTATTGTCTCTCCCTCAACCATAGCCCATGCTATAAGGGACATTTGGTTGTTCCCATCTTTTGATATAGTAGCTGATAAGGCACATTTGTATAACCCTTTGAGGAAACATCCATCAACACCAATAACCTTTCTACAACCCAATAAAAAACCCTTCTTACAAGTTTCAAGACAAACATAAACCATTTTGAATATTAGTTTACCATTTGGGGCATCTAAATCAACATCAATTTTGATAGTTAACCCAAGAGACAACCATAACTCTTCTACATATCCTCTTGGTTGGGCCTATTCTTTGATACATGCCTTCCATGGGTCACTAAATATAATGTTTCTAGCATTCTCACATTTCTCTATGAATACATTAATATGATAGTCAAAACTGGTTATTCTTAGCAAGTTATTATTGCTTATATGTGGAATAACAGTCATTAGGCTTTTGTGCATGTCAGCAAGATCCCTTGAGGTTATCATGTCTCCTTTTAAACACCTAAAGCAATTATGCTCACTATACTATGATATAATCTTGAATGACTTGTCATTTTTGTCATAGCTAGCAAATATCTTGCATTTGAAACCTTCTTTTTTGCACCTCAATTTTTGTCTTCTAGGCTTATTTTTTTACCCAAAAAAGCCTGTAGCCTTCTTGTAGTCTTACTTGGATAATGCCTTTTTGAATTGTGCACAATGCATGAATTTCATATCCACTTAAAACCAAACCTCAATACATTTTAGATAATTCCAGATATCATTATTCTTAGTTCTTCCTGCTTCATCTTCGCTAGTCTCTTCATCTTCTGATTGATTGCTTGAGTGGTCACTAAGATCATCACCTGCAATATTTAACTCATCTTCACTATCATCTACTGAACTATCAAGACTCAAATCACATAGCTTAGGGTTATTTTCAATGTTAAACTGTTTGCTTTTTTATTACCCTAGTTTGTTTTTAAATAATTTCAATAACCTCTTCATCAACAGCATCACTACGGAGGTCATTTAAATCAAGATAAGCCTCAACTATTTCATTTTCTATGTTTGCATTAGTGTGAGGATCTATAGTTTTTTCATTGTGATAATAATATTGCTCTACAATTAGCATTGTATGGCTTGCTATTATCTGTAAGTTTTGTGTCACACAAGCTTCCAACAATAAAACATGATCTGGTGTATCAATTACATGTTCAACATAGACATCTACTATACCCCATTCATTTAAGAGGTATCTCATGTGCATTTGCTCATGTTGACCCTTGATTTGCCTTGAACTTTGAGCAAGAATTCCATTAGAGACTCAATAATATAAAGATTTATAATTTGAATATCCAAGACTCCTAATCCTATCATCTATACCTACCATTATATTGAAAGGTAGTCCATATAATCATTGTGTGTTTCACCACTAGCATACCTTATCTTCCCAATATAATTTTCAATTATAAAATTACCACCATGATAAATCCTAACTATCCTCATCTATTAAATACGAAACATAAATCACTTTTTTTTTTTTTGCAAAAAATATAAATCACAATTACAATGCATGAAACTACTACTATAAAAATTCTAATTCAACTCAAAGTTAACACTAAATCTATCCTAATTGTACTTATACCCTATTTACAGTAAACA